AGGTGATTTTTTTTTTAAAATCACCCATCATTCTTAAAATAACATTTAAAAGTATCAACGTCGCATTCTTGGCCAATTCCTTGAAGTGGGTGCGTGTCATATATTGTAGGCAAAGAAACAAAAAAAAACAAAAAATGAAATGAAACGGAAGTAATACGTAATACATTAAATTTAAACTATATACAAATATTATGCTTTAAAGCTTGTATTCAAGACTGCCATATAAACCTGATGGGAACAATTTTGAGCAACTTAGTAAGGTTTTACCTTGTTGAAATGACGAAGAATTTTAAAGACCAGATTAAAATGGTACTCGCTGAATAGCTATAATGAAATTACACACAAAGACACCCCTATGGCAGTATCCTAAGCCTGAGGCACCGAAGCTTAAAACATGATCCCTCGATATGGTTAAGCCTTTTTTCGAAATAGGAGTAATAAGAAGTAGAGTTCTAATACGAGGATATATTCGACATGACAAAAAAGTAATGTTCAATATTTTCTATAGTTCTCCGCAGAATTGACAGAATGGTGATATCGTCAGACCGGCCCTGCGCAAGTTTAAGTTTAAGGGGGGGGGGGGGGGGCACGGCATCGATATCTACCATTCTTAAAATAACATATAAAAGTCTGAATGTCGCATTCTTGACCGATCCCCCAAAGCGGGTATACGTACGTGCTACATATTGTAGGAAAACAAACAAAAAAAGGAAGGCGAATAAAATAAAAACTTGTAGTAAACCCCAGCTGAGTGTGCTGAGAGTGGTGAGCCAACTTTCCACGGTGCGCTTGTGAAAACAACTTAAGAAGGGCGAGAGGGGGCAAATCAGTTTTGTTTCACTCAACTCCTCTTCACCGAGAACTTTGATTTTCGCGTTACGACACCGCGCAAGGACTACTGGATTGCTCAAGGATGCAAGAAGTACTTTATAAGGACGCATTAATGTCACGGACAGACGTCGTTACGTAACCCATTCTTTTTTATTTGTTTGTTTTTCGGAGAACAAAGCTCGAAATCTTCCTGTAGTGCCAGAGAGTTCCATAATGCAGCCACACGTGCCCCTTTCTTTCTATATTTATTTTACCACCCAATCACACGTGTAACTAAGTGCTGCCTTGCGCAAACCACACCCGAATGACTGGCAGCAGTGCATGCAATCTTAGGTTACGTGCACGACGCGAACATTACAGCTTGTTCTGGAACTAACGCGGCTGCTGGTGATAATGCTAATGATGATATTCGATGGCACCCCAGACAACACACGATGTCCTGAGGTCGTCCTCATATGGTACAATCGTCCTCGCACAGTTCTCATTGACCTCAGTACTTACTGAGGACGACACAAGCTGGCTTGACCCGGAAACATCTTTTCGAGTGCTTTCTGAGGACAACAATTGGTCCGGAAAAAGTCCTGTCAAGAACCTTTTGGGGATGACAAAAATATTGGACTGAGCACTTAGATATCATTCCCCAAAGCCTTTGCGCACCAAGTAGATGCATTTCATATGCAAAAACTTTCTCCACACGTTCGTTTCATACAGTCATAAAGTTAATATATATTTTCGCCTTGTTTGTTTCTTTTTTTGGCAGAAAATTTTCAAATTATGCGTTCCGCTTGATGAGACTAGCGTAATTAATCGTCTTAGATATTGAACCTGGTATTGCAAAATGTCCATTCGAAACAGTGTGTTCTTAAAGCCACAGCCTTAAATTAGTCATTATACGCCGCTGTACCGCGTAATAACGAACTAGCAGCTGGCAACCAGTGATCATTCTGAATAGTCAAGTAGCCAAGCTACTCCAAGCCAACTGACTGTCAAAATGGGGTCTGTCCGAAAAGGTGCTGTGTACTAGTGAAGGTTCGTGTCCTTTGTTGTTTGTGTGCATGATTGAAAGTGAGATATGTGTGAGAGTCTAAGTCGTAGGTGATGACAGGAGGTGAACTGCCGTGTTGATGGGTGCACTGGGCTGCTCAACGTTCAGACTGATCATGGATGTATTGTCACCAGCCGACCGCGGTGAGGTGTGGTACGAAGCAGCCTGGAACACCAGCGAATCGCGATCAATTGTGCTTCGAAGCAGCCTGGTTCCAACGTGAAAGGATTGACTTCGGCATCTGACACATGGCCCGACCTCGGGCACGTCAAGTCAAAGCCTATGTAGAGTGTACTGGTAGGCTGTCATAGCATAGTCTCTAACACTAGTGAGTGCATTGAGCATGACACACGTGGTGATGAGGACACTGTGTCAAACTTTTGAGGAAGGTTACACACGTGGTTTATTGGGCTGTGTTGACTGCCTTGATACTGCTTTTCTTTTTTCAGACTATATGTGGGCTCGAATGCCTGACAAAGTTGTCAGTTGTGATTAATTACTGTTAAATAAATTTCAGTCAACAAGCTTTGCTTGTTTTGTCACCTCTCTTGATTGATACAGTATATATACACGAGACCTCGCAGGTGTTTTTCTTTTGACGTATGGAAATATCATGAAAACAAGTAAATCCTAAGTAGCATCACTGCCCACAGTACCGAACCAGCCACGCAATCGTTGTTCTGAAAAGATACTGAGAAAGTCCTGAAGTGCTGTCTTGAGGATGTGCTGAGGTTTTTATGTGTATGGACAAGTGGACGGGATTAGCGCCATTCTAGTACCATAAGAGGACATTCTGAGGGCGTCATATTGTCCTCACGGAGGCATACTGAGGACGTCCTGAGGTTGTGTTGTCTGGGACATGTGTAAATGCGGAAACGCTTTATCGCTGGACAGATTACCGACAGCCGACTCCGTGTTCGCCGCAATCAGGATACAGCGCGCATTGCCATGCTGTAGTTTGAGTTTGTTTCCCGGCCGCAAGTTCGGCCAAATAAAGAGTTTCATTATGGACGCGCTGACTACGGCCTTCGTTAACGTCACGCCCCCATGGCAATACTTACGTCGTTCTAAATGATGCGCGTTGCTGAACAACGGCGCATGCTAATTGTAGGCATTGAAAGTAATGCTCCACATGGTCGCGTAGACGCTAAATAAACTTCCAGGGTCCGTCATGCATGGTTTTGCATTGCCTCTGTGATCGGCCCGGACGACGTCACGCGATGTCGTCGTCATGTCACGTGACGTCACTCTAATGTGATCAAGCGTCACACACTGGTTATGTATGACGGCGTGATGACGTTATGTGGTATAAGGTCGCGACGTGATGATAATCTTTTGAATCGCTCGTGTTGACACCTCTGACGCGTGACGCTGGTCAATTTTCGTCGCTTGATCTGAGGTTTATGTCTTGAAAGAGGCATGTCTAAGAAATGGTTATTCAATGCAAAAATAGTAACTCGCCGCATCTATTTTACTCGGGGCATGCATGCGAATATTTCTTGAAAGTTGACTCGTGACTGCTTCACAAAGAAGTGCCGAGTCACTCGACGCGGTGCCTCTGCACCTCTCGTAGCTTTTTTTGCATTTCCAAGAGCTCAGATACGTCCGCAAGGATAAAACATATAGGTGGCCATAACAAAGGGGTAAGTTTAAGCATTAATCGTAGTAATAGTGTTGCTTTCAGTTTGATATTAGATGTCTCTCTTCTTAATCACCAACATCGAGCTGTTGACTATAGACTCACGCTGGCCAACTTCTCTGCGCTTCTACTTGTAATGAATGTACTTATCTCTCGCTTGGTATCTTCTCTTCAGTGGACAATTGCATGTTTCCTTTCAAGACAATAGCCACCTACAAATTCCTTTACGAGAAAGTGGCTATTTTTGAGAGTCACTCTTGAAATGATTTCAATGACATATGATTGCGCTGTCGAGATTGTCCCGTAATAACTTTTTGTCTGGGGTTGACTGGTGCTCACAGAACTTTCCATAATAACTGCTGTAGTTCTTCAGTTTACTAAATCGAAGGAGACATACTAGCATGACCTGTCGGGTGGAAGCTCGCACCATTTCGCGCATCTTTTTCTCGGCTGCGTTCGACCTTCGTCCTGTACGTTGAGCCTGTGCATACTTGGAGGCGTACCTTCAATTTACTCGTCGATTGTGACCTATTGAATAGACCGCGAATCCGGTAAGCGCTTTCATCGCAAACGCCGCCGTGGACGGGTATGCTGAGTTGCACGAGGATAAAGAATAGAGGAGAACAAGGTTACAACAGAGCATCGGACCACAACAACGTTGGCACCCTTCCCACATGCGGAGTCAAACACGTGCTCCTTTCGCGAGGGCAAAACTAGTGAGAGTGCGGTGGGCCGCGGAAGCCTTAACTCAGCTCTCGCGCCGGCTCATTGCGCATGCGCACTGTTGCTATACTAAATTAAGCGCGTGCACTTGGCACACTTTTCCAGCGCGCCAATAAAAAGGCTGTTAGAAACGACAACGAAGAAATTATGAGTCATCAGTATGCAAACGGCCGGTTATAGCCGTCCCAGAAAAATTAAGAAGACGCGGGATACGAAAAAAAAAAACAAAACAAGCAGTACATATACTTTAATAGCCTTGGATTGCAAGATCTAAAGACAGCGAGCAAACAACCGCCTGGAGTGAGTAGCTTTAGATCGCTTTGGAAATGGCGGCGTGGAGACTGCTGCCTCGGTGGGTGCACAAAATAGACACATGCACACACAGACGTCTGTGGTTATTATTGCGGAACCGCCGACAGAGACCTTGAGGATTTCTCTTTAAAGCCCCGCCTTTGTACCGCGCGTTTACCGCGCCTTTCCACGCCAGCGAAAGGGTGAGCGCGAGGCGTCACTACCTATCCCACTGAAATGAGTCCTCTCAGGCGCCGCGCCCTGCTCTCTACCGTGCTGCAGAAATTAGGCGCCTTCTTCCTCTTCTAACCACTACCACCAAATGCATCCTCGCGTCGTTCCCGCCTCTCTGTAACTTTTTTTTTCTCCCTCAACGCGTCTCTCTGAACGTGTACTTTGCTTGTGCACGTTGTGACTAAACGTGGTGGTAGCGGTGAGTGAGAGAGGAGGGCGAAATATAAAAGCGAGACGATTCGCTCCTCAACACCACGCCCCGTGGCGAAAAACCAGCACTCGTGGTCACAGCATGTCGTCGTGGAAGATCTTGGTTTTGTCGGCTGCCTGCTTTGGCGCTCTCCTGGGCGTCCGAGCGCAGCAGGTCAACGTGAGAGATCCAGAATTGGGAGAATTTCAGGACGACGGCAAAGTGAGTGGCGCGGTTTGAAATTCAAGTGAAATTCGCCTGTTGATAAGACACTAAAACTGAAATAAAACTGCGCAAGCGTATACAGGACGAACCCAGGCTATTAACAGATTTGTTGACAACATCAAACTTCCGTTTCTGAGAATGCACATGGCCACAGGCACATGCGACGGTATCGATCGCCATCTTGAGTGCCCTTCATCTACCCCGAAATTTCTAACGCACCACCGGAATGCATGCAGCCTTCTTAACCGCGGGTCAAATCCGTGGCCTCGAGATTATCGGCGTGATACCCTATCTGTGGGTTAGATGAAGGGCTTTTAATATTGTGTGGGATACTGAGCCACGAGTGCTTGTGCGCACGCATGTTATCAGAAGTGGAAGTTTGATGTTGTCAATGGTTGTTGGTCTGCTCTCGTCCTGTGTACTTCTTGTACTGTAGTGTTTTGTATCCCGCGCAGTTTTATTTAAGTTTCATTGGTTTGAAATGGCGCGCAAGTGCAGCTGTTAGCCCCCCCCCCCCCCCCTCTCCCTGCCGTGGTGCTTAGCCAGGTAATGTGTCGCGTTACAGAGCTCTCGCGGTATAATTTCTACCACCTGGGATTCTTTAACGTGCGCCTCAATCTATGGGTACACGAGTGTTGTTGCGTTTCGCCTGCATCAGAATGCGGCCGCCGTGTCTGGAAATCAAGCCCACGCCCTCGAACTTAGCAGCGTGGTATACCCACGTGAAATTATGCCTAAAGAAAAAAAAAGCGTACAGGTAGGCCAGTTCTAAACCGTCAGTTTTGGACCGGCACATCTGCAGCTTCCCGGATGACCGTGCCGAAAAAACATTTTCCTCCCCAAACTGCCCGCAGTGTTTTCCGTTGAAGCAGCCGTGGTTCGTGGCGTTCCGCAACTACGAGGTGGACCCTTTCTTCGGCCTGGCGGCAAAGTGCGTTCGCTTCAGCCCTACGGACGTCCCGTACGTCGACAACGCGACGCACGTCAAGGTTGAGTACGGCGACCACGACAGTCTGTAAGCACCCGTTACCATCTTTATGGTGATAGCTGTACTGACACTTCGAGGCTCTCGTTGCGTAAAAGTAACTGCGTAAGCGGTCGCTTTCGCGGCATCAATTAAGATATACTGAATATGCCTATACTGAATAATTAAGATATACTGAATATGGCGGGAATGGCATTTCCTTCATATGAAGGGGGCACCGGGCAGGCAGATGTGGTCGAGTGCCATTTTGGGGTGTCTAAGCCATGGCGGAAAAAAAATTGGCTGGGTGTGGAGGGGGGAGGCAAGGGGCTGATGTGTCACCCCTAGCTACGTCACTGCCTTTAACCGATCTATCTACTAGGGAGTCAGCAATGTAACTAAAACAATCCAGTTGTTTCTCTTTGTAGCGCACAGCGCATTAGGAAATCATCGACACCTCAGCATTTTCTCCCGTACAACATTTATTAGCTGCAGTTATGACTGTCCCGGGTTGCCTGCTAGGGCTATTAACAAACTATACCTGCTGGATGGCACTGGTAACGGCGTGTTATAATCACTCTGACACAGAGGTATGTGCCTGTAATACGTCGTAAGTATGAATCAGTAAACTCGCATATATCATGAAGCCGCGAGGTCGAGGCAGTCAGTAAACTGAGGTCTCAAAGAGGTGATGGGCAGCACCAGCATGTCCAGCACCAGCATGGGCACAGCGGTGCAAGGAAAAGGGAATTAAAATGCCGCTGCAGTGATTTATGGGACGCCGTAATGAGCTATCGCATTACTGTCACTTGAGAGACCTATACAGTCATTAGCCATTAGTCAGATATTGATTACGCTCGTGTAGGGACCGACGAGCTTTAAAAAATGCGCGATCCAGGAAAAAGTATTAGTTTTATTGCTGTCTAACTCATACAGCCAGGCTTACTAGTCTTTAAGAATGAATCTACCAACTGAGCTATAACGGCGGCTATCCCCCTGTATATACCTAATGGGGTGTGTATGTGCATTTAAACGTGAAAGTGTCAGTCAGCGTCGCCTGTTGCTGTTTGGGTGAGTGCGAGACACTTTTTTTTTTGCCTGTCGGCGCCCCATAGCACGTGCTTTTGTTACGAGCTGGCAGTTGATAAGTTGTTGTGTGCCGATTCGGTCTTCTAAAAAAGAAAACTGTTGAAGATCCTAATAACTTAATGAAGCTGCGGAGTGTAACAATTTTCAACAGAACCATATATGAAGGGCTGGCACATTGCTATTGGTAAAGAATGCTAAATAATTTCGCTCTGCTTTTTTTTTACTTGCCAGGGACCTGAGTGTTCAGCTGGTTCGCACTGATGGCTATCACCACCAAAATGCCCTCCGAGTGTCACCAACAGGAGGTGAGCGGTGTTGGTTCGCCGTAACATTTCGTAGTGTCAACAGTAAACAAACATTATACGTGGCCACGTAAGCCATACGAGAGAACAATGTTATTGCACAATCCATAGTTATCTACCGTATCACTACTATGTAGATGAGGAAAGCGGTAAACTATCAGCTGGCGTTCTAACTAAAGGTATCTTCAAGGTCACACTGCTTTGAAGGACACAGATCACTTTCAAGGTCACGCATCACCTTCAAGGTTATAGATTACTTTCGAAGCCACACGTTTCAAATACCCCTCTCTGGAATGAAGTGAGGTGTCCCCTGCCGCACCGGCGCTCAGAATTCCACACATGAATAATGTGCCGCAATGACTCGCTATACTTAAACTAAGGCTGTAATACGGGCTTCTTAGTTTGCCTTAATAACACATTAACTTGCGCGACTGTGGCACAGATGCGATGACTCGATGTTCACCTCAGTGGTGTTAATGCTCTGTGCAAGGTGCCAGAGGTTCTACCCGTATTCATGAATGTCTCACTTGCAGTAATTAAAAATGCGAGAAACTCGAGTAACCTTCCTTTGACACACGTTCATGAACTACATGTCATCCATTTTCGGTTCTTCAAAATTCCGCACATCTTAAATCTACAAAGCTGACATATTTGGCTAAATGTGTGACTTAAATATATTGCACGTACTTATTCTATATACAGTGCACTGCTTATTTGTGAAATTGGTTTCCCAGAACTTTTAACATCAGACTAATGACGTCAATGAAATTATAAAGTAACCATTAAGCAACATTCTGTCAAGCTTAGATGTAGACGCGGACGAATTTTACAGAAAGTCGAAGACAAACGTTTCCTGAAAATTAAATAATTGGGCCGTAGACTTAAAACTTTACTTTTCTAATGAGGAAATTTCGTCTCATCTAGAAATGCCGGGAATACAACGAAACAGGGTCTGATCAACCTGAAAAAAGTTTGTAAAAGCTTGAGGTTTCAGGCACCGCATGAGAAGCTTCAGAGGAGTGGCTTGTTGAGTGAGTCGATTCTTTCTTCGCCCCGTTTTTTTCTTTTTTCGCGCTGAATTCTGCTATGAGCATAAGAAGCTTTTTCACAATGAATATGGAAGGCTCATAAGGTTAAGTACCTAAAGTTTTCGTCACATTTGAGAGCGTCTGTTGCTTGTTACTTTTGTAAAAATCGATACTTCGTCTTTCATCCTCTATGCCCCACAGGAGCGCAGGTCGAGATTGACCTGCCCATTGATTACGTGGACTGCAGCACTTGCAAGATCATCAGACACCCGTACGCAGGAAGTAAGTCATGCACATGGCTTCAGTCATTCGGACTCAATTATCAAATTGCCCGACCGACACACAGAAAGCAAGGGTCTTACTCTCCTATTAGGCAAGATATACCTAATTAAATCTGTCTTCTTGAACTAGGCATAGTCGAAGTGGCATGTCTCTGGAGCCAACGTTTCTAGAAGTATGATTTTTCGTGTTAGTTATCGTTAAAGCTTGTCTTCTGGACTCGTCTTCATCAAGACTCTTCATTGTCGATACCTACGTCGTGAATTGCCTAGAGGATTTTTTCACGTTAGGACTTGCCTTTGTCAAGACTTGCCCATGTCATGACTTCTCCTCATTAAGACCTCTCCACATCGCCTTCAAGAGATTTTTCCACCATGAATCGTTTTCGTCAAGGCCTGTTTACGTGAAGACTTTTCAATGCCAAGATATGTCCTCACCAAAAGTTGCCTTCGTCGGGAATCGTCTTCGTCAGGTACGCGTCGACGCTTACCTTTTTCAAGACTGGTGTACGTCTAGATGTAACTTTGCCGTTGTCAGCGCAAGTATAGTAGACGCTGGCCCGACGAAGACAGGTTTTTATTATCGGAACTTTTATATTTGAGATACAGGTTTTGTTCAGGTGCATTGTCGGTCACTTCATCAAGATCGAGGCAGGCGGTCAAGGAATGCCACGCCGTCGAGCCACTATTTTGACATTAGAAGTCGACTTCGTCAGTGTCTGCCATCGTAAAATGCTCTCGTCAAAATTTTGACTCCAGAAATAATGTTTTGGTCGACGCGATGGTACAGTGGTTGCGCTTAAAGAAAGGTCGCGGGCTCATTACCAACAGTGGTCGCATTTTTGGTGGAGATGATAATGCTCGAGTCCCGTACACATAAACTTATGGGCACGTTAAAAAAAAAAAAAAACTAGCATGTGTGAACTTCCGGGGCTCTTCACTACGGTGTGCCTAATGAACATAGAGTGGTTTTGGCATGTAAAAACTCGACGACAACACAACAACAACAACAACAACAACAACAACAACAACAACAACAACACAACAACAACAACAACAACAACAACAACAACAACAACAACAACAACAACAACAACAACAACAACAACAACAACAACAACAACAACAACAACAACAACAACAACAACAACAACAACAACAACAACAACAACAACAACAACAACAACAACAACAACAACAACAACAACAACAACAACAACAACAACAACAACACAACAACAACAACAACAACAACAACAACAACAACAACAACAACAACAACAACAACAACAACAACGATAACGATAATAATAATTGTTGTTGTTGTAGAATTTGTTTTGTATCACTCCAGTGAATCACCGCTTCTGTACCAACAACGACGACAACAATAACAATAATAACCCTATCATTATTATTATTATCGATAATAACAATATATGGTGGTCAACATGCCAGAACCACCACATGATTATGAGGGGGACGGCTCCGGTAATTTCGACCACCTGGTGCTCTTTAAGCTTCGTAGACATCGCACAGCACCAAGACCTCTAGCATTTCATCTCCACCAAAAGGCGACCGTCGTGGTCTGTATCGAACCCAGGACCTTCACGGACAAAAGCAGAGCACCGTAATCACTGAACCACCGCCGTGCACTTCACCACGTCAGCTTCAATCTGTCAGTATCAGTTTTTTTTTCAGCGTTTCGCACATTTTTGGCAACGAAGCACGTTACATTGTCACTACAATTGTTATGGAGCGCCCAGTACACTTCTCTTTCAACTATTCTGTCGTAATCAAGATACAGCTGTTGTATAATTACAATATAAAGCCTATCTTGTACAGAGATGTCTCGGAATATTTTTCAGTGAGTCAGAATCGGTTGTCCAACATTAGGCGACCGGTCCACGCTGCGTTTTAGACGTACGAACGAGCATGTAAAATGTTTCACCCGTAACTTACTACATGCTACTAAATAATCACCAAGTCAACGCTATCGATATCTGTCGTGTTCTTCACAGGGGCTGCCTGCAGTTTGCTCGTCACTGCCGAGCACATCGAAAACCCTCCGAACGCCTGCCACTTCATCTATCGGCTGCTGTGTGGCGCCACTAAAATTCCCATCTACGACGAAAGTTGCAAGAAGCATCACTGATCACCCCGGTCGCACCTACATCATATCGCCATCGCTGTGTACATACCAGATATTCCTTTCAGGATTGAGTAAATGTATATATAAATGCATAATTTGCGCAAATATAACTTCTTTTCTCTCTGAAGACCATTGTTCGAAGTGCATTGTTTACATAATTATGTAGTAAAGTTTACCTATGACTGATTGAAATAAAAGCGGCGTAATGCGCCTTGACGAAGACAACTGTTGAAGATTTATGTCCCAATACCACGATATGATTAGAAGGGATGCCGCAAATAGCGAAAGGCTCCGGAAATGCCAACAAAAAAAAAAAAAATTCGCAGATCCCACGTACAGTGGGAATCGATGATATGCGAAGCACGAATAAGAAAGGTTATGTTCCTTTAAAATCAGGCCAACGTTACAAGGTGAAGGTAAATGATGCCGTACATGACTTCCATGTCATGATCACGTTTGCATGTGTCGTTTACCTTCGTCATCTATTCACGTCACGTGATACCAAATTTAGTATATGTGGAGCTAGCGAAACGGCCGTGAGCACGCAATTAGCGTGGTATGTTGTCATGTTCTTACATGACACGCGTGTCAGGATTATCATGTTTGCACCAGTCATATATTTCGCCATCCATTGACGTCACGTAACACCAAATTTGGTATATGTGGAGCTAGCAAAATGGCCGCGAGCGCATCAAGAAGGGCCCAATAAACTACAATGTAGCGTTGACGCGCGCGCACGCTGGGCACAGCGACGCTACGTTAGCAAAACGCGAGCACTCTATAGTCTGACGCCAGGCGTGAGCGGCGTGACTGTAGCGTCCGCCGGTGCGGCCCGACGGCAACCGACGGCGCGAAATGCGACATGCTGCGTTTCGCGCCAATGCCTTGCCCAGACAACACTGCGTCTCCCTCTTTTCGTGACGGAGGGATGCCGGAAGCACTGGAAAGCGCATGCGCCTAAGCAACGCAGCGCGGCGCACTCCTGCGAGTGCGCGCCGGCAGGACCGGTGCCTGGCGGGGCAACACCGGCGTGACCCGACGAAATGAACGCCGGTGAGCACGCGCACCGCGTCACGTCGAAATGTATTGGCGCCTTGACTGTGGCATGTAGTCATGTTCTCAAATGACACGCATCTCATGATTATCATGTTTGCACCAGCCACATCTTCGTCACCCATTGACGTTACATAATACCAACTTTGGTACATGTGAAGCTAGCGAAACAGCCGCGAGCGCATCAAGAGCGTTGCGTGTAGTCATGTTGTTCATGACACGCATCTCATGCTTATAATGTTTGCACCAGTATCATACCTTCGCCAACCATTGACGTACCGTAATACCAAATTTGGTATATGGGACGCTAGCGAAACGGCCGCGAGCGCATCATCAGCGTGGCATGTAGTCATATTACATGAAACGCCTGCCATGATTTTCATGTTAGGGTTTGTCGCTTGTGTTCGCCATGCAGTCATGTCATACCATATAACAGTTTTGCAACATGCCATGTGAAGGAAACCACCGCCAGAGCTGCAGGACCACGAAATGTAAATCATGACAATAATGACACACGTCATAATTTTCATGTTATGACAAGTTAAATATGCTCGTCATAGAGTCATGTTATGTCATACCAAGTTTGGCATTGATATCACTATCCAAACGGCTAGGAGAGCTAAAAGCCGTAGGTGGCTAGATAGATAGATAGATAGATAGATAGATAGATAGATAGATAGATAGATAGATAGATAGATAGATAGATAGATAGATAGATATCCCCTCATGTAATGTCCCATGTGGGACCTTTGAGGTATAATGAATAAATATACGCTCAAAGTCACCGAAGTTCGTTAAGGAATGCTTCGCATTTAAAACAGGTGACTGTGACTGCCCAAAACACGATTGCCTCGCATGGCGTAGCACCTCAGCCCGGGTGGGAACAAGGGTTGTGCCTACAACGCCATGCAGCCGCCGCCAGAGACGAGGCGGCAATCAAACGCTGGAAGCGTTCACGTAGTTCATGCTGCCAGCTCGCGTCAGGGGAGACGGCGTTTCGGCGCGCAAGGCGATGCGTAACTTCGCTGCACTGCCGTTGCAGTATCGGCCAGCTCCTCAGAAACGCGACGACAAAGTGTGTTTAGAAAAAATGGGCAAACCCCACGTACAGTGGGAATCGACGATGTGCGAAGCACGAATGATAAAGGTTGATATGTCACCTCAAAATCAGCACAACGTTATGAGGTGGAGGTAAATGATGCTGTACATGACTTCCGTGTCATGATTATCATGTTTGGATGTGTCGTTTACCTTCGTCATCTATTGACGTCACGTGATTCGAAATTTAGTATATATGCTAGCGAAACGACCGCGAGCACGCTATGAGCGTGGTATATTGTCATGTTCTTATATGGCACGCGTGTCAGGATTATCATGTTTGCACCAGTCATTTACTTTCATCATGCATTGACGTCACGTAACACCAAATTTGGTATACGTGGAGCTAGCAAAACGGCCGCGAGCGCATCATGAAGGGCCCCATATACTTCAATGTAGCGATGACGTGCGCGCACGCTGGTCACAGTGACGCTACGTTAAGAAAGCGGGAGCACTCTATAGTCTGACGCGAGGCGCGATCAGCGTCCGTCGGCGCGGCCTGAAAGCAACCGGCGAGAAAGGCGACATGCTGCGTTTCAAGCCGATGCGTTAGCCAGACAACGCTGTGTCTTTCTCTTTTCGTGACGGAGGGACGCCACACGCGCTGAAACGCGCATGCGTCAAAGCAACGCAGCGCGGCGCGCGCATGCGAGTATATGGCAGAACCGGCGCCTTGCGTGGCAACGCCGGCGTGACCTGACCAAATGAACGCCGGTGAGCACGCGCACCGCATCACTTCGAAATGTATTGGCGCCTTAATTGGCTGTGGCATGTAGTCAATTTCTCACATGACATGCATCTCATGATTATCAAGTTTGCACCAGTCACATACCTTCGTCATCCATTGACGTCACGTAATACCAAATTTGGCATGTGTAAATCTAGCGAAACGGCCGCGAGTGCATAATAAGTGTGGCAGGTATACTAATGTTACATGACACGCATGTCATGATTATCATGTTTGTATGTCATTTACCTGTGTCGTTGGTTCGTGTCGCGTAATACCGAGTTGGTTGCATGTGAAGCTATCGAAACGGCTGCGAACGCATAATAATGGTAGCATGTAGTCATGTTACATGACACGCATCTCATGTTTATCATTTTTGCACCAGTATCATACCTTCGTCATCCATTAACGTCCCGTAATACCAAATTAGGTATAAGGAAATCTAGCAAAACGGCCGCAAGCGAATCATGTAGCCTGGCGTGTAGTGATGTTGTTACATGACACGCATCTCATGATTATCATGTTTGCACAGGTCACATACCTTCATCATTCATTCACGTACTGTAATACCGAATTTGGTATATGAGACGCTAGCGAAATGCCTGCGAGCCCATCATGTGCTTGACATGTAGTCGTGTTGTTACATGACACGCATGCCATGATTTTCATGTTAGGGTCTGTCACTTGTGTTCACCATGCAGTCATGTCATACCATGCCAGTTTTGCAACATGCCATGTGAACGAAACCACCGCAAGAGCTGCAGGACAATGAAATGTAAATCTTGACATTTATGACATCGATGTCATGATTTTCATGTTATGACTAGTCAAATACGTTCTTCATACAGTCATGTTATGCCATACCAACTTTGGTATCGATACCATTATCGGAACGGCTAGGAGAGCTAAAAGTCGTAGGCGGCTAGACAGACAGACAGACAGACAGACAGACAGACAGACAGACAGACAGACAGACAGACAGACAGATAGACAGATAGATAGATAGATAGATAGATAGATAGATAGATAGATAGATAGATAGATAGATAGATAGATAGATAGATAGATAGATAGATAGATAGATAGATAGATAGATAGATAGATAGATAGATACGCTCAAAGTTGCCGAAGTTCGCTAAGAAATGCTTCGCATTTAATAGTGCTCTGTCACGTGCACTGAAAGAATAACGAGGAGAAAGGAGTCTGACGCTACATCATGACAATAGGGGCCCAAAGCTCAAGTTTGCGGAGCGACGACAACGCCGCGTTGGGGCTCTGGCGGCAAGCCATGTGCGAGGCAGAGGGCGCAGGTGATTCAGTGTGTTCTTACCCCGTGGTTTCACCGCAGCGGGAGCATGTGCGGCACTGAGTCGGTGCGGGGAATTTGGCGCACTGGAAGAAGACGCTCGCTGTTCGACGTTGCGTTGCCGCGATGGCAGAAGCGACCACACGGAAGCGTCAGCGAGGTCCGAAGTGTTGTTCTGTGCCACGAGAGTGCAGACAGTACCAAGACACGCGATCCACCTGCAAAACTATCGGTTGCCGGACAAGTCTTACGAGAGGGAAAGACAAGAAGCGTGGATCACCGCAGTTAAAAGAGTATAAAGTAAGTTCTAGCTCTGTCGCGCCTCCCATTTTCATTGCCTCAATTCGCTTGAAATCGTTTGTTTCGACTACCTGAATCAGTACGTAACAAGGCGCGTGCGTGCAGCGACTGCAGTGATGATAGCTCGCTGTCTCCTCGCATTGTGAAAGTCCAGTTGGTATGGTTGTATGCTGAAACAACTTTGTGTTTTCATTCCTTGTGTTTGTGAGGCGTAGTTGTCGTTGTTCACGCTCGCATAAGTCATACCGCAGTTAGCGTTGCGTTGTTGGTTGCTTTCAACTGAACTGCGCGCATTGTCAAAGCTTTGCCGCCCGCGATTCACGCATCGGGAAGGCTGCATTATCGCGCTGGAACGAGCTTGTGTTAATTTTCAGCAAACCTTGACATCGCCTTGCTAGTTTTTTTCTATTTTAAGTCGCTTCTTAGGGTGATATTTATTCAAGCCGCCGAATTGAACTGACTCCTAATACAATAGGAGATGTGCGGTTTTCTTTCACGCGTGCCACGTGTGGACGTGTTACGCTCCGTAGAGTGCTTCCAGTGCCACAAAAAGCTGCAAATTACTGTAAAAATCTCGCAAACGAAATTGGGGGACCATTAAGCGTCACCTTTAAAAGTTGAACGCGATAGGGATATTCTGTTCCTATATAGTGCATACTTCAAAGAATTAGTGTGTGCCATCTTTTAGAACTTGCTATGTACCCACTATGTGGCCTTAAGGGTGCAGTAACGCAGTGTGTG